TCTTAACATAAGCATGTCGTAGGCCAGAACATCTCATCACAGACTCATTTGTCTACTTACCTCGCTGTTGGAGGCCAGGCTCCTGAAATCTTTCTCTAGTCCTGATTTCCCCCACAGGCCAAAAGCAGAAGAGATCTTACTGGACCCTCTCACCCCTGGCCCACATAGGTAATAGGATGTATTGATTCAGGCAGCTGCTCTCCTACTTGCATTTACACTCGTGAAATGCCATATATCACACTGACATTGGGCTCTTTATTTGGGGAAATTTTACAGCCTTTATTTTTTCAAGTAAACATTTTAAGCATTTCAGAAAGAATTGGTTTTGGATAACAAGTTTTCTTCTAAGATAATAGAAGGTGTTTGAAGAAGTTTGTATACTTAAGCCATTTATCTATTTACATTTCATGCTACACTAACTAAAATTTTTTTTCTGTTTTTAAAAAGGAAAATGAAAGATTGTATAATCAAGTAAAAGCTCTTCAAGAACAAAATAAGAAAAATGAGGAGCAAGTGTTTAAGGAAAATCAGAATTTATTCAGCGAGTTAGCTTCTCTAAAGTATGTCCTTGTGAATTTTTTTTTATGTGTATGAGTGTATTGCCTGCATATATGTGAGTGCACTCATGTCATACAGTGCTGCGGAGGTCAGAAGAGGGCTTTGGATTCCCCTGGAACTGAAGTTAAGGACAGTTCGTAGCCGCCATGTGGATGCTGGGATTCGAACCCAGGTCCTCTGCAAGAGCAGTCAATGCTCTTAACCAATGAGCCATCTCTCCAGCCCCGTCCTTGTGAAATTCTTACAATTACTATACATAACTGTTTGTAAGCATTCTGTTGTCATAATTTATTTTTTCTTAGAAAAAGTTTTTACATGTATCTGTTTTCACTTGTATATTGATTTCCAATCTAATAACTTTTATATTAAATATTAAAAAGATTTATCTTTTAATACTGGATAACTTGTATATACTTCAGTATTCTCAACATATTCATATTTGAGTTTAAATCACTTTCAGGAAATTGAAATTGCAGTGTTTATCTTTGTTAGTAATTCCAAGATGCTTAATTTCCTAAAGAACGATGTAATAATATTTTAAAAATAAAACTAGTATCATGTTGTTCTTAGGTCAGGTTCTTTGGGAACAGAATAACTGTAGGATAGGTCAAGGAAGGGGCAGAAGGGAGAGGAAGTAGGATAGGGTCACACTTGGAACCTGGCTTCACCCTGCAGCTTCCAGGGAGCTCTGGAGAACAGACTGCATGAAACATTCCCCTTCTGCCAAAAGTGACCCAACCCATACCAATACACCTCAAGGAAGCCTTACTCTTCCCACATCTGACCAAGGGGATCTGGTACCTTCCACATTTACAAATTTACATTTTTTTTTACAACATTTACCATTTGCTCAAGGGGATATGGAATCTTCCTCAAATGAATCAGGATCTGTAGGTCCTTTGCCATCTACCCAGAGGGATCTGAGTCTTTCTACAACTGCCCAAGGGGTGGAGGGTTTTTCTGTGTCATTTGAAGGGCCTGTGGTACTGCCTGAGGACTCCCAATGGAATTTCAGTCGTTTTCCCTACCATGACCATAATGTCACAGGCTCACCCTCTCACAGTGGAGGCCCCATGCGTTCCTCCCAAGGAAGACTGAGACATGCCCCCTTGAACAACAGGGTTTCAAACATTCCTCAAAAATCCAAGAGGGTGTGAAACATTCCCCTTCTGCCAAAAGTGACCCAACCCATACCAATACACCTCAAGGAAGCCTTACTCTTCCCACATCTGACCAAGGGGATCTGGTACCTTCCACATTTACAAATTTACATTTTTTTTTACAACATTTACCATTTGCTCAAGGGGATATGGAATCTTCCTCAAATGAATCAGGATCTGTAGGTCCTTTGCCATCTACCCAGAGGGATCTGAGTCTTTCTACAACTGCCCAAGGGGTGGAGGGTTTTTCTGTGTCATTTGAAGGGCCTGTGGTACTGCCTGAGGACTCCCAATGGAATTTCAGTCGTTTTCCCTACCATGACCATAATGTCACAGGCTCACCCTCTCACAGTGGAGGCCCCATGCGTTCCTCCCAAGGAAGACTGAGACATGCCCCCTTGAACAACAGGGTTTCAAACATTCCTCAAAAATCCAAGAGGGTGTGAAACATTCCCCTTCTGCCAAAAGTGACCCAACCCATACCAATACACCTCAAGGAAGCCTTACTCTTCCCACATCTGACCAAGGGGATCTGGTACCTTCCACATTTACAAATTTACATTTTTTTTTACAACATTTACCATTTGCTCAAGGGGATATGGAATCTTCCTCAAATGAATCAGGATCTGTAGGTCCTTTGCCATCTACCCAGAGGGATCTGAGTCTTTCTACAACTGCCCAAGGGGCGGAGGGTTTTCCTGTGTCATTTGACGGGCCTGTGGTACTGCCTGAGGACTCCCAATGGAATTTCAGTCGTTTTCCCTACCATGACCATAATGTCACAGGCTCACCCTCTCACAGTGGAGGCCCCATGCGTTCCTCCCAAGGAAGACTGAGACATGCCCCCTTGAACAACAGGGTTTCAAACATTCCTCAAAAATCCAAGAGGGTGTGAAACATTCCCCTTCTGCCAAAAGTGACCCAACCCATACCAATACACCTCAAGGAAGCCTTACTCTTCCCACATCTGACCAAGGGGATCTAGTACCTTCCATGTCCACAAATTTACATTTTTTGCAACATTTACCATTTGCTCAAGGGGATATGGAATCTTCCTCAAATGAATCAGGATCTGTAGGTCCTTTGCCATCTACCCAGAGGGATCTGAGTCTTTCTACAACTGCCCAAGGGGCGGAGGGTTTTTCTGTGTCATTTGAAGGGCCTGTGGTACTGCCTGAGGACTCCCAATGGAATTTCAGTCCTTTCCCCTACCATGACCATAATGTCACAGGCTCACCCTCTCACAGTGGAGGCCCCATGCGTTCCTCCCAAGGAAGACTGAGACATGCCCCCTTGAACAACAGGGTTTCAAACATTCCTCAAGAGTCCAAGAGGGACTGAAACACTCCCCCTCTGTCAAAAGATACCCAATTTTTCAGGATGTTATTGGAAGTTTCCTTGACCACGAATGTCACCATATTTATTGACAGGCTCCCTGGTCTTTTAGATGACCTAGAACATAACTAGTATAGCCATTAGTGTGTACTGATCTTCCATGTACAATAGAAAAAGGTACACCCTTTAGTAGACAGAGATAGCAGCTATACATACTAAGCAGAGAATGTGTGTGTGTCTGTGTGTCTGTGTGTGTGTTTAATTGCTCCTTCCTCTCCTGGTCAATGTAGCCAAGAGTATGGTCTTGATGCTTGAAAACATTTACATCTTTCTTTCCTGATATATCATTAATGATTATTTTTAAAATAAAATAAAATTTAAAATTAATGATTATTTTTAAAAGTCATATCTGGACTGGAACTGGAACTTGGTAGAGTGCTTACTTAGCATGCATGAGACACTGGGTTCAGTCCTTAGCACCACATAATTATGCCTTGTGGCACATGCCTATAATCTTAGCACTCTGGGGTTAGAGACAGGAGGATCAAAAGTTCACAGTCATCCTCAACTACATAGGAAATTAGAGACCAGATTAGAAACTACATGTGACCCGGTCTCAAAAATCAGATAAATAAGAATAAATTTTAAAATATCAGGGCTGGAGAGATGGCTCGTGGTTAAGACCACTGCTGCTCTTACAGAGGACCAGGATTCAGTTCCCAGCTTCCACATGGCAGCTAACAACCATCCATATCTCCAGTTCTAGGGGATATGACGCCCTCTTCTGGGCTCCATGCTGGGCTCCATGGGCATTGCATAACACAGTGCACTTACATGTGGCAAAACACTCATACACATAATTTTTTTGATTAAAATTAAATAAAAATAACACATCTTTATTATGTTTTGAAAGAACTGCTCTAGAATCCCAAACTAAATAAACTTCCATGATAAAAATGAGTAATATATTTAGACCCATCAGGGCTATATTATCTTGTATAGATAGATCTCTTGGAAAAATATAAAAATTGAATCTAAGGTCCGAATAGCTTTTTGTTTTGTTTGTTTCTGTGTATACAACTGGGATTTGTGTTTGTCAGAGAAGTGCAGAAGACAAAGTGTCACCTCTGGGCAAATACGTTCAGTGCATTTTTTCAGAAACCCTGTCCCTTTTCTCTGAGAATTGGAAGAAAGTGCTTTAAAATTTCAGTTAAGCCAAAAGTCTTAGTATTTCTATTCTTTTAAAACAAAAAAAATAAGCATTTCCCTTAGCTCTACTCTTTTAGCATGTTAATAAAGTTTTTTATCTTTAGTGATTTATATGGTTCTAGTTCATTACAGTATTTTGCATTAAAAAGAATGTCTTTTTAATATTCTTGTCATTTTATGTTTTAGGAATATTTTTATTATTCCAAAGAGAGGCAATTTTTAAAGCACTTTCCTAGAAATAACTTGAAGCAGATTACATAAATATATATACACAATGAAGTCTTAAGAGTGGAAAAGTAGGAGCTACAGAGATGGCTCAGCGGTTAAGAGCACTGACTGCTCTTGCAGAGGACCCGGGTTCGATTTCAGCACCCACATGGCAGCTACAAACCGTCCTTAACTCCAGTTCCAGGGGGAATCCGAAGCCCTCTTCTGACCTCCACGGCATTGCATGGCACGGGTGCACTCGCATACATGCAGACAAGTACACTCATACACATAAAATAAAAATAATAAATAAAGTATTTTTAAAAAGGGTGGAAAAGTAGGGATAAGAAATCAAAGACTAAAGCTGGGCATGGTGACACACATCCTCAATCCCAGCACTTGGGAAGCAGGTCCTGCAGATCTCTGTGAGCTCGAGGCCAGCCTAGTCCACCCAGCAAGCTCCAGGCCATCTGGGGTCACAGAGAGACCCTGTCCCAAAAAGAACAAAACAAAACAGAATCAAAGACGAAAGGATTTGCCAGCATGGGGTCAACTTTGGTGAAATAATAAAGGTTTTCATTAGCTCTGTTTTTGGTGTTTTGAGACAGGACCTCCCAGTAGCCCCAGCTAGCCTGGAACTCACTATGTAGACCAGGCCTGGCTCTAATTCTTTTTATTATGTGCTGATTGTGGTGGCATATACCTTTAATCCCAGCACTGAGACGGTAGAGAGGCAGGCAGATCTCTTGAGTGGCCCACAAAGTGACTTCCAGATCAGCTGGGGCTACAGAGAGACCCTTTCTCAAAAAGACCCCCCCCCCCCCCCCCCAGTTTACAGCTGCACTGGAAAGTCTGCACTCAAATACAGATCCTTTGACTTCCCAACAGCCACACAAAATGGTGAGAGAGGTGCCTCCTGGCATTTTGGGCTTATATATCCTTATCTACCCCCCTCCATATGCAGCTAAGGTTGACTGATTGGGCGGGAGGAGTAATTCTCTTTCTTCTCAATTCCTTGATGAATGGGGAAGGAGGTGTGACAATAGCTTGCAGGCATAGTTGTCAGAGGACACTTCCAGGTAACATGCCACCCCTTCCTCTGGCTCTTACATTCTTTCTGCCAACCTCTTCCACAAAAGTCCCTGAGCCTTGGAGGGGCTGATAAATGTGGGATGATCCTCCTCCCATTGTGGCAAGGCACTGAACTTTCTGGTCTCTGCGTCATCAGTTTTCCATGTGCCGTTGGCCCATTTCAGTGGGATTCCATCTACACCATGTGGAGGCCAGATCCAGGCACTTGCAGGCGGTCTCCCGAGTTCTCAGCCTTTATGCCAGATGGAGGCCAGAACAGGCACTCTCAGGCCGTTTGCTAAGGTCTCAGCCTTACCCTACCATAGGGCTGAGGTCTGTACTAAGAAAATGAAATATAAGCATTTCCCTTAAGTCTATTCTTTTAGCATGTTAATAAAGATTTTTTAATCTTTAGTGATTTATATGGTTCTAGTTCATTAGAATATTTTGCATTAAAAAGCATATCTGTTTTTTTAAAAAAGATTTTATTTTCGAAATCAGAGAACAGATGCACAAAAGTGGTTCCCTGTCTCAAGTAGTTGAAGATGCAGAGCCCACCAGAAACCAGAGTTTTACAGATCTAGCAGAGGTACGGGAAACACAGGTAAGTTGCATAAGGATTTTAACTATTGGGGTTGGGAAATTATCATTAAAAATTCCAATCTATGTAAAAAACCTGTTTTATAATACATATATGAGTAAGATATATTTTGAAATAAGCTATTTTAAAACTAAGACATATCTATAATTAGCATTTAGTATTCCTGAGGCCTTAATATAGAGGAAATAGCAGAACACTGGCTTAATGCAGTCCAACCTCTCATCAGACATGGAACACATCAGAGATATTGCATCTGGGGGACACCATATACTTTTTTTTTTTTTTTTTGTCTTTTTGAGATAGGGTCTCCCTGTAGCCCCAGCTGCCATGGAACTCACTATGTAGACCGGTATGGGCTGGAACTCACAGAGATGCCTCTGCTTCCCAAGTGCTGGGACTAAAGGCGTGCACAACCAAGCCCAGCTGTATACTTTATTTCAAACAAATTCCTGGGACTGAAGAGACAGCTCAGCAGTTAAGCACATGTACTACTACTCTCACAATGGACCTGAGTTCAGTTCTCAACACCCAAATCAGGCAGATCACAACCACGTATAACTCCAGCTCCAGGGGATCCAACACTGCTGGTCTCCAAGAGCACCTGCATTCATGTAGACACATACACA